ACAAAGAGGAAGTACTTCACCTCAGGATAATGTTACCAGGAGAACTTCAGTCAGCAGAGCTAAATTTAAAAGCAGTGCTCTTACAAGATCTAACAACTTGCAAATTTATGATCAGATCTGGCAGCTCTTTTTCAGACCTGTTCACTGTACAGAATTCAATTGGTGTGATAATACCATACATTTTAGCAGAGGTTGTAAAAATTAGCTATAAAATAAAGCACAGAATGTATCAGCTCTATCTTCAGTAGTTCCACCTAAGCATAATCAACGTAAGATGAAAGAGTAGATTCATACTCTGTAGGCATCTCCCTACTATTCTGAACATAAAACTCCTTTATCCCCTTTATTTCTTCTCCCATTATTTTTCTTATACTTTATTATCAATACAATTTTTACTACTCCAGTACAAAAAGTGGATTTGATACAACAGTGTTTTTATAATATGTAATATACCGTGCTGATATTTTATCTGTTACTTTATTGAAAAAATAATACATTTCTAGTAATAAAAAGGAAATACTAGGCTAGTCAGGAACTGAGGCATGTTTTCCTCTTACCTGATTATAGTTTACAGTAAAATTAAAGCACCTTTATAGTCCCTGATCTAAACAAAGGTATCCCAATGACATCAACAGTTACTCTACATAAGAGAGCTCTGCATGAGAGAGCTCCTGCTGCTGCATCCACCTTCACCACACAGCTCAGGGAGCCTGTTTAACCAAGCAACATGGACAGAGCTATGCCAATACTAAAGATGGACTTGACAATACAGAAGATATTCCGCTATTTCAGCGAATGAAGTTAAGCTTGAGTCATAAGAGGGGGGCCACAGAAAGTAAAATCTGAGATAAGTTGCTTGAATATCCCTGAAAATCTGAGCCAGACTTTACCAGAAGTTAGAGAAGCTCCTGAGCAGGAGCTGGCACCTATAACTCATTCAGGACCTTGGGCCAAGAGGACTACCAAAAAGGTTTAACAAGCTGCATGCCTTGCTTTCTTTTCTTTGTTTTGCTTTTTGATGTTAAACCTGGTGCAGTTACCACAGCATAAGGACAAAGCAAAGTTTGTGAGAGAAGATAATATCTTTATCAGAAAAAAAAGGTACATTTGGAAAATGAAACTCCTTTTCAAACACAATCCCTTTTTCTGGGAAGACCTTCAGGACAAAGTGGTTGTGCATTCAAAAGTATACCTACTGTTTCTAATTATGCTAGATGGTCTTATAAATGGTGTTGTTGATAAAGCTTACCTTTTCTTACTAAGATATTAGGAATATAGCTGGTACCAAAAGCCTGAGAGCTTCCCAGCAGCAGAAAGTTCTGCCATATGCCACCAGTCATCTCAAGTCTTTGAAGCCCTTTTTTTTTCTTAACAGAATATAAAATCCATCACAAAGTTTATGCATGTGGGTTGAGTATATGTTTCAAGATGTGTATGCGTACCTAGGTATATACAAGCACCTTTTGAAATGGTAGCACTTCATTGAGAGAGAGGATTGGAACAAGGGATAAAGAGAGCCAACACAAAGAAAAATGTGCCTGTGAAATCCTCAAAGTTGGGGTTGAAACAAATGTTTTAGTTAATGCTCATTCTCAATTCTACATTGCACCAAACAAATTCATTTTGGGGCAAGGTAAACATTAGTTAAATATTCATTAGTGAAAACTTCTCAAAAAATCAACAGGCAAGGACAAATTGCAAAGGCATTTGGAGAAAAAGATTTACTTAGGAAAAGTGATTTGAAAAGTGCAATAAGAAAGGAAACACTCGAACTTCCCTTCCAATCCTTTTTAAACACTACCTTTTTTTCAATGGAAAAAGACTGTTAGTGATTTTGTTAGTTAAACGGGACTGGAGATAAACTAGGCAAGTGAGATAACTCCTAGCTCTGCTACTATCACTGCTCTCAGTTGGCCTTCTTCCATCCTACACTCTTCTAGCGGAGCTGAGGGTCACCCCACTGTGAGAAATCTTGACAGGTACATCAGACTCATGCATTTAAAATCAGCTGAAAAAAAATATGTGACTATTTTGTTGCTGATATCTGTTTACTAGTCAGAAATGGCAGTTCCTCAGTAAATCAGATCAAGAGGTTTAGGTTGGAAATTAGGAAAAACTTCTTCATGGAAAGGGTAGTTAAGCATTGGAACAGGCTGCCCAGAGAGGTGGTGGAGTCACCATCCCTGGAAGTGTTCAAAAAACAGGTAGATGTGGCACTTTGGGACATGGTTTAGTCTAGTCTACCCTTGATTGGTTTAGTGTGGACTTGGTAGTGTAGGTTAATGGTTGGACTGGATGATCTTAAAGGTCTTTTCCAACCTAAACGATTCTATGATTCTATGATTCTATATGTCGATATACCAAAAAAATTAGTGAGTTAAAGCAGGTTATAATTTACACCTCTCAGACTGTGTAGATTTAGTAGACCAATTTTTTCTGTATGTAATTGCCTGTTGTATGGTTACTCCAAGGCTGTAATTAGTCCAATCTGTTATCTTCATCCTATGGTTTTTACTTTATGACTTGGGAATGCTGACTGGTTAATACATTTTATTTTTTTCCCTTTGACTGTACTCTGAAGGAAAGGCATAAATAATTCCTTATCAAGAATCTAGTGTCTCGCTAACTCTCTTTAACAGCAAGGTTAGTAGCTAAGGACCCATTTTCTCTCCTTTGATGTCAATCTCTTCCTACTTTATATGTGTAATGTTTGTACTGGGTCATAGAAATCAGAAAATTCAACGTATTAAGTTTAAACAAAGTGTGAAAGATTTATAAAGAAAAATGTTTATAGGTTAAAATTTACTTTGCATTTACTTGCTTTGGGTATAATTTCTAATTATTACAAAACAATTATATTAAAAATTTGCATAAATATTTATTTTTAGTCCTTAATATGAATGTTTCTCTTTGGACTTTATTTTTTTAACAGACTGTTCCATTTTTCTACATACCACATATAGTATGCTATGTTCTAAAATGGTATGGTGGAATGTGGAGAATTTTGTTTTGGGGAAATAATAAATTCCTTTCGCTCTGTACAAAAGGCTTTATTCATCCCTCAGGTACATGATCATTATCTGGGTCTATCTTGGCTTTTCCCTTAATTTAAACAAGAGCCACCTACTGTAAATAACCTTTTTTTTGCTTACAGACACATGTGCAACTTGTAGATGTGCCACCTCATATTAAAAAATGTACTAAGATTTCAGTTTCAAAAAAAAGTTATGAAGAGTTAATTAATTAATTCATGAATGAAAATTAACACTGATTCCAATATCAATCATTTTTTCTTTGCTATCACGGTGAAATTCAGTCCAACGTGAGAGGAAAATATGAATCTTACTGGAATTTCCAATTAAGTTGTTGAAGCTGTTATGCCAGAACATCATGTATGCCAAAGCATCTTACTGGAGCATCATGCATGCTTAAGGGACATGTAGCATGCATTCTCAGGTGCTAAATACAGATAATTATACAATGCTTCTCAACACAGTATCTATTTTGTACCAGTTAGAAGCTCATCTCCCTACCACATAAGCTCATGTACTGGTGCCTCTGACCAGGAACCATATTTATGGAAAAAAATAGTGAGTAAACCTCTTACAAAGGGCTTTTTCATGCACAATGTTTTATGAAAAATCATAGTACACAGATAAGTGATACTCAGACATGCATACAGGCTGCTATGTTTCTTTCCTCTCTAGTGCAACCACTGCATTAACCCAAAAAGCTGTGCTGAAACTCAATACACCTTACTTGCAGCCACAGGGATGTTCCCTTTCCAATCCACTTGTGCACTAGAACTTTTGTGAATGTCTTTGGGTAGGCCCTTGCACTGCTCTCTACATTCTTGCTTTCCACAGCATGCCACTGTGGCTCACTCTAGCTCTCCATCTATCCTTTTGTCCTTGGCATTCAGGGGGAGCCTGTACAGCATGCAGTTAAAATGAAACTAAAAAATATGTGTCTCTTCCCTGCTCCTCCTGAGGTATATACCAACTTTGTTCTACTGACCTGTAACAAACGGCAGAGGTCAGAAGGACAAAATCCTCTGAGCTGGAGTCCATTTGTGTAGTGTGTTAAATGCCTTTAGGTCTCATTGACTTCTCCAGACTTTTCCCAAGGCATTTGTCATTAGCAGTAGAGATCCATATTTAATAACTATTTGAGTGTTATTACAGTATTTCTTGAGATACACTGGAGAAAAGTATACATACTGAAGAAAACTATTCACAGCATTGTATTAGGAAACCATTTTGTGTTGTCTCATGGAAAGCAACGTATATATAGCGATGTTACAGTACACTTTACTGTACAGAGTGTTACTACATTATCCAGTCTTGCTTAACATCCAAGGCTCAGAACCAGTTTGGCCACAATATCCTGTAAGAGCTAGTGACTTTGGAGTGCTACATATGAGACACCTCAGGCAGACTTGTCTTTCAGAAAGTATTAAATCTCTGCCATGACCACACATTTTGGAGGACTGAAATGGACATCCAAACATTGAGACCCAACAGAGTAGTCTTTTAGAAAACTTTGGCCTTCATGAACACTGATGTAATTCAGGATTAATGCCATCAAGCTGAAAAGATTACAATAACAAAAGAGCAATATGAGATTGGACTTAGGCCTCCAAAGTCTAAAATCTCCAATATATATTTAAAGAGAAATAACTTACTCCAGCATTTGGAAAAGGGGGCCTATTGAAAAGCATGAAACCTCTAAAATGTTATTTGAATACCAGAAAAGTACTACTTTAAAAAGCCAAGGCAAAAAAGCCAAGAGGAACAGAAAGGAGTGAGACAGAAATGCTAACATGTTCATTTCCCAGCTCCATGGGCATCTCTGGGTATTAACTGACGGACAGTCCCTGCCCTTAGTGACATGGGTGTCATCTCACAAAATAGAAACACGGACATAAGCTGGACTTAAAATAAGGTTCCTAAGTAGAAAAAATACCAACTCAGAAACATACGTCTTATGATGATACCTACATTTAGCTGTGACTTTGTATCCGCCCAGCGGTGGGTCGTGGCCTTCCACGGCATCGAATCCTGCTGACACCAGGACAATCTCTGGATCAAACTCATTGGCAGCTGGCATAATCACAGTCCTGTAGAGTGAAAAAACCCAACCTGTTAAAAATTAAAAGAACTTCTATCTTCATGATATAAATTGCCACAAACTCAGAAATCCACAACATGATATTTCCTTTTAATTAAACCAGTCTTCATGGTAGCTGTCCAAAACCAAAGCAAGTCCAAGGCTTCAATTAATTTCTTTCTATAGTCACTCTTTTTTCTTTTCTACAATTGAGGAAAAAAAAGATTGCAGGTACATGTGAAAGCCTCTAATATTACACACACATCTGTGCCTGTTTTATCCTGCTGCCTATAAAAAAGCTGCCTCTTCCAGGGAAGTGACTAATGGTTTACAGAGAGCACTCAAAGCCTGAGTGGAAACCCGGACTGCTCCAGTTAGTGTGAACTTGGTGTAAATTTGAACTATAAATTTCTTTTGGGAAAATGTTTGCTTTCCAAACTTTTTTTTTTTTTCTTCTTAACATTTTTAAATGTTTGTCGAGGTGGGGGGTGACTCTAGCAAAGGAAAAACATGAAATTCCCTTAATCAAATCCAGACTATGTTGTCAAGCCTTTCCAAGGTCAAGCATAACAGGAATGTGACAACCACAAACTAGTGACAGCAACCCCTGCTGGTGTCAGGAAGATAATTCAGCCCTTCACAGTCAACAAAGATTCCACTTTTTTAACCCCTTCCTTGACAAACTTCCATAGGGATATTTTGTTGCTTTGTTTTCACTCTTCTCCAAACTCAAATCATTAAAAATGTCTTGAAGAAGAAGATAAAGCCCTGCATTCTGCTCTCACAGATGTCTTCTTTCAGGCTGACTTTCTGAAGGGAAGGCATCGGGATGGCTTTTATACTAGTTGACAAATGCTGAGCCTGTAATGACTCTGCTAATTCAGGGGGACATCACTAACATTAAAAGGCAAATAAACAAATGAATGGTCTATTCCAAATATATTAACTCAAGGAAATCCTAATTGGTCTACACTAGTCAAATTATGAAGATCAAATTTGCACATGTGTAATACTATTTATCTTAGTTCAATATTTATTTATTTGTTATTTAATCAACTTAGGCCAGAGAGATCTTGTTTTTGTTGAAAGATTAAGGTTTTCTGTGGGGGAAAAACAAGCTTATTAATATTTTAACAAATCTTTGGGGTTTTCTTTAGTTTAGTTTTTGATCTGTGTTTTATAAACTTTATTTTGTTCTGATTCCCTCAAAGGTAATTTTAATATTAAGAAAGTGTTCCTTTTACTTGTTAGTCAGAGAAATGCAGAATTCAGACTAAGTAAAATGTCTGTGTCAGGACATACAGCATGTCAATGAATACCATTTTATATTAGAAAAAAAGGATAGAGGCAACTTCATTTTTCTGGTGATTTCACTGAAAATGCACCACAAATGTCTGCAGACAAAGTGATATAATTTGTGAAATATTCCTTTTTTTACATGTCATTAGTAGGCCTCTGCTGAAGTATGGATTCCAGTATTGAGCACTGCAGTTCAAGAAGGACCTAGACCAACTTGAGAGAACAAAAGGAAAGAAAAAAATTCTAAAAAATGTGATCTAAGTGGATAAAATGATAGTATTACAATTATTTGATTCACATAACATGAGAGTAAACATGTAAAAGTCCATGAATATGTAAGTGGTTGTTGCAAGAGGAAAGAAATCTGTTCTGCCTTTCTACTGTGGATAGGACATGAAGTAGTTGCAGCAGGAAAGCTGTAGTTCAGACACTGAAAAAAGCTTTTTACTAGTGAGGATAGATAATAATTTAAATAAAAGGTTTAAGAAAATTGAAGAGTCTCCATGTCTTTGAGTTTTTTGTAATAGGTAAAACCAATGTCCATCAAGCTTGCTCCAGGTTCAAGCTGACATGGCCTTGAGGCAGGAGGTCAGATTACTTCCTTTCTAGGTCTTTTTCCTATAGTTCCATGATGTATAACTATATAACACACAAAGTACACATATGAATAATTACATTAGACACTACAGTGACTGAACATTTTTGCAGGTTAATCTCCACAAACTTTGGGAACAATATCAGGAATTAAGATCTCCTATGCAACCATATCTTATCTTTCTTATGCACATACCTTCTGATACTCCAATTATATGTTCATTGTCTGAAGCAACACATAATTCCCAAAATTCCCCACGTCTGCAACACATGTGGCATGGATCCTGATTAGTGATGAGGACTGTGGCTAACATGCAATCTTGATCTGTCTCCATAGCACAATATATCTCATACACTGAAAGAAGGAGGGATCCTAAGAAGAACCCTCCCTATCTGCACCCACTTGAGCTTTTGCCCTTCTCCTCTCTGTTTACATTTCCTCAAATTCAAGCCAGGCTCTGATTTTTATTTCTTCATGTCAAATAAAATGGCAGCACCACAGAGTACAGCATAGACAATGCTCAGGAGTCAGAGAATGAAGTGTGTTCAGTGCAGACAGAAGCTCTGGAAATTCAAGTTGCTGAGCACTAAGAAACCTAACCAGACTAACAGAATGAGATTTTTGAGAGTCTTATAATTTGGAACATTGGGAAAATCTTCCACACTTCTACCACATTTCAAGACTGTGCTCAAAAGCATAAAGATGTCAGCACATTTTTTTATAACTTGGGCAAAACAATGCATTTGACCCTTAATCTCATTCTTAGAAGCAGCAAAAATTGTTTAGCCACAGTTTCTTCAAAATTTTTGTCAAATAAATATGTCTGACGTGAAAACTGCCAGCCACACTGGGTAACACTAATAAAATTATTAAATACTGAAAGGAAGGTCTTTCAACACAAAGCACCAGGAATAGCTACTAATGCCATCTTTAATAGTACTGAACAGGAAATAGTAGCATATTCATAAATCTCTACAGAAATTATGTATAGTAATCTCAGGTAAAGGAAGGAGAAGGCTATAATGATAATAACCAGAGGTGGCATTTAGAATTCACTGTTCCGTTACTGCTCTCCGTTTTACCTGAATTCACATGACTGTGAATAAGTAATACCTAAGACAGTTTTTCAGAAAGAAAGATATTTTTCTTTTAAAAATGTAGACAGTGTCTGCTAAATTTAATGAGAAGAATATCACCCTACTTCTGCTATAATACTGTCTCACAGATTATGACCGAACTTTGTTGCTGCTGTTCTGCATACTACATACCAGAAGAGCTAACCTGTGTGCCCACAAGACCTGTGTCATTGTTCATTTCTCTTTCATCCTCCATAATATTGAGGGACCTGGAATGTCAGAGCTCATCCATCTTACACTGTTCTTGATTTAATACTGAACAGAAACTCTAAGGGCTTTTCTTTTAAAAAGACATTATGGAAAATGTAATCTTTTTACTAGGACAGAAAGCTTGACTCATCTCTAAAACATCTCAGGGTATCTGTGGTCCTTGTTAGAGCAACCAAGACTACTATTTGGTATTTCCAAAAAGATGATAGCTGCAAGTCTCTCAATTGCAGAGAGGACCATATAGACATCTACTTCCTAAATCTCTAATCCAGTCTTCCTTTATATTAACCAACAGGTGTTTAAAGGTTGCTCCTCTTTTGAATAACTACTGAGATATCCACTCAGAGAAGAGCAGCTTAATGTCTGGAAAACATCATAGCATTTTGCTTTGGACTTTGTGTAGGTAGGACCTCTCTAACCTTTGTCTCGCCTTGGCAGGAACTCCTTTGTGGCTCAAAACACATGTGTAAATTCCTTCACAAAAGTGACAGATACTTTCTTCTCTTATGAAGTGTTATAAGGAATTATATACACACATTTTTAAATACAGACTAAATTTCACCAGAACATAAATAAAACCTTTTGGCATTTGCCACCTCTCAAGCTTCAGCATCTTCATTATCCCTCAATAACTGCCTTTAGAAAAATGTTTTGAGGTTGGCAGCTGTAAAGAAAGCCTACACAAAGCACTAGATTCCATCCTTTTTTTTTTTATTTGAGCAACGTGAAGCTCACTTCTCCCTCGTAAATAGGTTTCTCCTACCTCAGGAGAGTGAGGACAGTTGGACAGGCAGGAACAGATCCTGACCCTTCACTGTCTCTTGGGAGCAGAGAATCATCAGGCCCTGTATCTTGCTCATTTCCCGTCTGTAGTGGTTTAACCCAGCAGGCAACCAAGTACCACACAGCTGCTCGCTCACTGCCCCCCAGTGCGATGGGAGAGAGAATCAGAAGGGTAAAAGTGAGAAAACAAAAGCCATGACTCTGAACGTCCTCCACTTCCTTCTTCTTCCCCCGGCTTTTCATGCTGAGCATGACGTCACGTGGTATGGGATATCCCTTTGGTCAGTTGGGGTCAGCTGTCCCAGCCATGTCGCCTCCCAGCTTCTTGTGCACCCCCAGCCTGCTCGCTGGTGGGGTGGGGTGAGAGGCAGAAAAGGCCTTGACTCTGCAAAAGCACTGCTCAGCAGTAACTAAAACATCCCTGTGTTATCAACACTGTTTTCAGCACAAATCCCAAACATAGCCCCATACCAGCTACAATGAAGAAAATTAACTCTACCCCAGCCAAAACCAGGACACCATCTCATCTACAGTCTGGAAGGCACAGCAAGGTGTAAGAAAGAGAATCATCCATTGACTGCCTCCTCAGGAGCTCCATAACCATAGCACTTCTCAGTTGCCTAACAACAGAATCCTGTGAATCAGATCATAACAGAAAATACACTTTTTTTTTTAAAGCATACAACTAGCATTGGTCATACACTAACAGATATCCATGTTAACCTTCTCAGATTCCTCAGACCAACCCTATGCTCAGAAGTCAGGCTGCAGCTGGCAGGATTTGTTACGGTGCGAAGGGTCAAAACTCTGCTCATCAGAAATCTTTTGCAAGGGTGCATAGGCAGCCTGCACTTAGACCTAGGTAGGAACAGTTATTATCTTACCCACAGCAGGAGTAAGAAATATGATTTGGCTTCTGGCCATAGGTCACCAGACAGGTATGGACTGTGGACTGGCAGGTCATCAGCTTCCTGCTTGAAGCCAGTT